CTTTAATTTCTTGGATTGGTGCCAAAATTTCATACAGATCGTCTTTCTATTCCATTTTCTTTTTTTTTTTTTAATTATCTAATTGGTATTCCTCAGGTTTCTTTTGAAACCAAAATAAAATAGTATCTTTATATTTTGAGATATTACAGACTTTAAAAATATAGAAATCATTATATACAAAAATAGACAAGATTTAGAATTTCATTATTTACTTAAAATAGAAAAGGATTTTTCAATAAAATTGGATGAAAGATGCTGGAACTTGATTATTATTTCACTATTGAGGATGGAGGAATATATTTTCAAATAGAGATACACCAACTATAAATATGAATCTATGGAATGGAAAATATTCAAACAACAATTTTGTAAATTTAATTAATATTATGGTAAAAGAGATTTTCTATTAATCCATTTTTGTAATGATTTGAAGTTTTTTCAGGATTGGGAAATTAAATCAAATTTGATAAGCCTGGAAGATGAATGCTTTCGATGGCCTCTCATAAGAGCATTAGCATGTATTTATTTGTAGGAGGATTTTCGTGAACAATAAATATAATGATAGGAAAATGAATGTAGGAATCCAAATTTTGCCATATTTAAAAGAAGAGGGGCCTAGATTTTTGAGGAGGATAATTTAACAAGACCTGATTGATCAAAATAGGTTGTTTATAAAAACAATTTATTAAATAGGGAGGAAACTGGAAGATGATAATTGAGGTAGATGGGATGCATTTTTAGAAAATACTGCAAATATTAACAAAGCCTATTCTTGACTATTGAATATACATATTAGATTATTGAAAAGAAATATTTTAGAATATAACTAATTATATGTTATTATGGTTTAATTAGGCCTTTCATGTCTATTTATAAGTTGGACCAAATTTTATATTTGATTTTTAGTATATCAAGTATTTTGGTGTGGAGGTTCATTTATTCGAACACCATATGATGATGTGGTCGAATAAAAAAATGAAGCTTAATAACATAAAAAAATATTATTTCATGGTCATGGTTAAAAATGGGAGAAAATTACCTAGATGTTATTAGATTAATAGTGAGTAAAAAGCAATTATAAATTTAAAGATATTATGTAATCTCCAGCTAATTTTTTTATAATGTATTTTATCCCATGTAACCAGTCTTTCATCAGCTAAGATTGCGGAAGGACTTATCAAATATTTAATTATATCAGACTCTATAGCTTAGATTAAGTAAACTAAATAAGGATTTATTTATCAAAAAAGAAATGCGATAAAACTTATAAGATCTACAAAAAACAATATATTAGATAGGGTTGGTAAAGAAATTGGGGTTAAATATTGTAATCAGCATGAGATCAATTTAGATAAAGCATGGAATAATTTGATTCTTTATGAACTGATTTCAAATACGAGAATAATTGTAGCTTATGTAGACAATTAGAGTGAGATGATTTTTTTTAAACATAAAACCTACATATTTGTTTTTATTAGTTTAGACCAGATTAATAGAGTTTTAGATATGATCTAAAATATATCTCTTCATTTAGGTGAAATATATTTCCTATCAGAAATTATATTATTTTTTGATGATTAAAGCAAACTAACATTCACAATTATAGAAGTATCAATATTTGTTAGAAATTAAGATAGTGATCATTTTGAGAAAATTAAAAGTATGATGGGAGTTCATGTTGTAATATTTTTGTTTGTTGAAATTGAGAAAACTATATAGAGAAGAAATAGAATTAACTTTGAAAGAGAATTGTAGATTAAGAATTCAGAAAAATTAAATTAATAGAACTGAATGCTTTAAAATATTCTTTTTTAGGATAACCTTTAAATTGTAATAAAAATTGTAGCCTTCAATTTAAAGGAACTGAAACTACATCATTAATTTTAAATAGACCATAAGTATGGAATTATTATTGGAATTGGAAATACAGGATTGTTTCTTGATGGTCAAGAGACCAATGCATACTTATCAAGTGATGGAGGTTATAATTAGTAGGAAATATTGAATAGAATACATATAAATGAAAGCGGAAATAATGGGACTCATCATTTTTGTTGAATCCTCTACTAAAGTTGCTAAATTTACTCAAGATGAAGTTTAACTTTTTAAGAAATTAAATTAAATACATAATATTTCTGGTTTGTTTTCAAATTTTGATAAAAAAAGAACTATATATAACTTTAGATTGATTATATAGTAACTGAACTATCTAATTAAAAATAAAAGTTCTTAATCTATGGTAAAATCAAATAAGCAGATAATCCTTATGAAAATTTCCTACTTTAAAAGATGCATTTTCATTATTATTAATGGAAAAAAAGAAAGATTTTTATTGAAAAATTGAGCTAAAATAAGGAAAGCAAATAGCATTATAAATGATAATATATTGTTATAAAACAATAATAATATTTTTTTTTTATGTCAGTGTATAGTGGATTTTCTACGCGATATTTTGAATCTTAATATAACTAGCTACTTTAATTACTTTTAGTCACTTTATGCAAAAGGTTATTAAAATTTTATAATAATGAAGAATGCAATGAAATTGGTTTCAAAAAAGCAATCTCCTCAACTGTTGGAGGAATGAAATAGTTAGAGTTAAGGTATCAAGTTGAATATTCTAGTAAATATTTAGATCCTAAATTTTCTGCAAGTATCAAACCATTGGAAGACTATTTATCCAAACCGAAAGAATATTTAAAATAAACCTCATAAATTTTAACAAACCATTTTTCATAAGATTCTGATATAAGTGTGATTCATTAAAATGAGTAATAAATCACTCCAATTTCCTCCATAAAATAAAGAAAGAGAATTCATAGTTTGAGTTAAACAAAAAGAAAAGAGATTTAATTTAGATAACAGTTATTATAATTGAATGAAGAGTAACATCCAATAAAATATTTTATTCGAACAAGAAAATAACTTTGAATTTTATTAAGAATTTATTTTAATTGAATTGCAGTAACTTAATTTATTAATTTAATGATTTCTGAAACTATTTTAGAAAAGCTTAAATCTAGCAATTCATATATAGTCATATAGTCAAACATTAGAAAAACTCTAGCTAAAATAGTTTAAAGAGATAAGGCAAAGATGAAAAAGATTCGGATGATATTGTAAAATTATAGGAAGCATATTTATCAACAAATGCTCGTAGAAATCAGACATCAATTAAAGTATTCATCACTAAAAAAGGAAAATATCAATTTTTATTTAATTTTTAATATTATCATCTACAAGGTTGTATTGAATCGAAAGTTTATAAGTGCTGACCTTAAACATTTTACTTTTCTTTTTCTGCACTATTTCTTACAATACATTTATTTCTTTTTTTTGATAATTTGTTTGTTTTAATTAAATTTTTGGATTTACTAATTTATCCTTGAATTCTTAATATTACTCTTTTAAAATTATGCTTAAATTAATAATTATTTTTCTATTACTCTGTTCCTTATTTTTCTTTTTTTTTCTAAAATTTCATATTCATATTAATCTTAACTCGCAGTAGATACATTACTTTTAGATAATTACTATTATTCTCTTTATTCCTTAAGATGTATATTTACCTTTTACTCAATAAAAACTAAAGATTCTAATTTTAAATGTATGCCTACAATGTTATATTACAAAATCTTTTACTTTTTGCAATTCTTCATTTTAGTAAGATATATATTAATCAAAATTAATCTAATTGATGGAGATAGGTTTTTTTTATTCTTGTGTGTTTTATTTTTTATAGCCTCTCATTTTCATTTCAATACAATAATTTATTCTAAAAGAATAAAGATTTAAAGATTGATTTAGAATAGTTTAACAAATTTAAATCATTTTCATAAGAATTCTCAAATATTTATGAGGATAATAAAATTTTAAAAAAGTTAAACAAATTAATTGATCGATTAAGTGGAAGATTTATTTGTTTTTGATTAAAATTCTTTCAGGCCATTAATTGGGATAAATATAGAAATAGATATTCGATTAAAAGGATTTGAATAATAACAAAAATTTGGACATTGTAATATTATGATTATTAAAAAAAACTGTAATAATTATAAATTGACAAAGAGGAATTAGAATCAAAAATTTTATAATTATGACTATCAAAGAATAAATACTAAGAGGTAGAGAAGGAATATAAAAGAGAAAAGATAATTTTATAAGGAGTAATGGATATATTAATTGATTTATCTATTTTTCCCCTTTTGAAATATTTTATTTTTCTGAATTGAAATTTAATAATAAATAAGTTGATTAAGAGATATCAGATTTATTCTTGAAGTTAAAATAATATTAAATAAATGAAAAATCTTTTTAACTGTAAAATAAAATCAATTAGATACTCTTAATATATGATTAAGTTGAAGGAATTAATGAGTAATTATTTTGTACAAATAATGAAATGGCTCAATCTAATAATAAATATGTATTATTATACATTATTCCATATTTAACATTCTGATATGAGATTTTATATATAGTCAGAATGAATCAAAATTTAAGTGATGATATTAATCAAATTTTGTAAATATTTTTTATTTTCATATCTAAATGTCTAGAAAATCAACTTAAATTCTGATTAAAAGTGTAATATTAAATGAAGCAAGAGGTAAATTCAAAAAGTGTCAAATCTGTTAGAAAGAATTCGGATTATTTCATAAGGAACACTAATGCAAAAGGTTTGTATAATAATCTGAAATTTAAGGTGTCGAAGAGCAGTTTGTTAGAATTGTGCAAATCATCATGGACCTGTTTTAACAGAGTAAGGATTCTCAAAATAAACTCACAGAATTTGTAATACATGTAAAGACGAAAGTGAATCAATAAAAAAGTTTATCGAATAATGTAAGATAGGTTTAGGAAGAGATTCCTTATCAATTGAATGGTTAAAATAATCAGGTCTAACAGTTGATTTAGCTAAAAAAGTAAAATCATTTTATATTATAGGAATACGAATTAGCATAAAAAGAAAATGATCGAGCAAAAGATAAAACAGAGTTCTTAAAGATGAAATAAGAATTACAAATGGTAATGATTGACTTCTGGATAAATCTTACCTATTCATTTAGAGAATTCTTATTTTATTTAACAAAAGATATCGAATCAGATTTATTATAATAATAAATATGTAGAGTTTTAGGAGCTATACTACTGTAATATCCAGAAATAGGATATAGTTCTGATTAAGTTTTAATAACAACATTTCTTTTATGTTACTGTTCCGAAGCTTCTGCATATGCAATTTTAACAATCTTATATTCGGAAATAATTCCTTCTTATTTGTACCCATTAAATATTAGAAAGTCACCCTATGATTATCAAAATGAAATTGATTAAGTTCTTTAAGTCTTAGAGTAAGGGTTTAAAATTAAAAAATAAGATCTTTAAATTATCAAACCATTCGTTTAAACTAGAATTCCAAGATATATTTTATCTTTAGGAATAAATTTATTTTAATTTTAAACATCATTCTATTTAATGAATCAAATGCTTGTTGGTCCTAAAACTGGATATGATAATTTTATCAAATGTTTATCAGTTAGTTTTTATCAATAACTTGAAGATATAAAATATTTTATAAATGCATATGAAGATGCTGAAGCTTAAATTTTAAGAAATGTTAAATCTACTCAATGTGAGAAGGATTTTCTTTAGACAAAAATGATAACATTTATTCCTCACAAAAGAGTAACTTAAAGTGTTGTTATTTAAAGATCAAATGAGAAAAAACCATCAAATTAGATATAACCTGAACATAATAGGGATCCAAAAGTAGAAATATCAATAAAAACTGATTAAAGCATGGCAGAGTATGCTACTACTTAAGATAAAAGTTTTTAAGAATTAAGAAGAAAATCAGTTGAAGTTAAACCCACTCCAGAAGTTGATGAAGAGAAAACAAATTTAAAATAATATATTGAAAAAATTGAAGAAACATTAATGTTAAAACATAAATTAGTGACTGAACTATAAAATAGAATTAAAGAATTATAAAATTAACCTCCTTAAATTAATAATAATCAAAATGTAGATAAATAATTAATAGATGTTAATGAATAATAAAGAAAAAGAATTTAGGAATAAGATACATAGATTTCTTAATTAGAAGAGCAAATTAAATATTCAAATAAACTTTAAGAAGATGCTTAAGAAATGGTTTCTACAATATAGAAATCAAATAAAGAGTTAGAATAATAACTTGAAACTTCTCTAAGAACAAATAAAGATTTATACATTTAGATTAAAGATTTGAAGAATCAAAGTTCTTAAATTTAACCTCCTTCACCAATGACTCCTTAGAGAGAAAAAAATTATTAAATAAATATTGCTTTGATATAAAAAAAGAATGAGGAATAATTATAATCAAAATTGGATTAAGAATAGCAAAAAATTGTATTATTGGAATAATAGATTAATCAAATGAATAAAGAATTATTAGGTTTATAATAATTAAATTAAGACAAACTAAAGATTATTGGAAATTTGGAAGTTAGACTTATTGAATTAGATTCTACAAAAAGAGAAAATGAAAAATTAACTCTTGAAATTGCAGCTTTGCTTAAAAAAATAGAGCATCATGAATTAGTTATAATTTAATAACAAGAAGATCTTGAAGATTTGAAAGCTAAATATGATTAATTATCTAAATAGCATGAAATTTAAGGTGAAGAATTAGATTAAATAAGAATAGAAAAAAGATAGAACTTAGAGGAATACAACAGAAAAGAGAATGAATTACTTTTAATAATAGAAGATTTGAAAAATAGATTATTAGAAATGACAAAATTATATTAAACTGCTTCAGATTAATTAAATTAATCATTAGATACTAATAATCAATTATAAAATTTAGTTTAAGAGAAAGATGAGAATATTAAAATTCTTGAAGCAGGAATAGCTAAAGGAATTAAAAAAATAGCAGAAATAGAAGCAAACCATCATAAACAAAAGGAAGATGATAGAAAGACGATCGAAGAATTAAGATAAATTATTGATTAAAATAATCAAAAAATTAATGAACTTGAAAAAGATATAGCAGAGAAAGATAATAAGCTTGAAGAGCATAGAAAGGAATTCAAAACACTTAAGGTTATATTTGTTAATTTAGAAGAGAAATGGACAAAATTAGATAATGATCATAAAGATTTAAATAAAAGACATGAAAAATTAATTGCTGAATGTGATGAATGGAAGAAAAGATTTAATTAACTTGACGGAGAACATAAAGATTTATAAGAGAAACATAGATTAATTATTATAGAGTATGAAAAAGTAAAAGAAAATACAAACGAAAAAATGAATGAATTAAAATCATAAAATGAAGATCTTCTTAGAAAACTAAAAGCCTTAGAAGATAAACATTAATTACTTTAAAATTAACATTAAGCTGTTTTAGATAGATTGGAAAAAGAAACCTAAAATCATATTAAGAAAGTAGGAGAATTGGATTTAATAATTATTGGTTTGGAAAAGAAAGCCCATGAATATAAAACATTAAGTGAGAATCAAAAATTAGAAATAGATAATCTAAAAGCATTAATAAAAGAATTAGAAGGTAAAATGGCCTAAGCTGAAAAAGATCAATAACATAGACATTAATAATTGATTATTCAAATAACAGCACATTTAGAGAAAGTGGCAAAATTAGAAAATAGAAATAGCAAACTAGAATTAGATGTAGTAGATATGGAAAAAAGAATTTAAGAACTAATTTTGTATAATCAAGATTATAAAAATGAAATAATCAAATAAGATGAAAAAATTACAATTTTAATAAAAGAAGCATAAACTAAAGAATCTGAAATAATGAAATTAATTGAGGTTATTGAAAAATAAAAATTAGAATTAGTTGAATATAATAAGATAATAATTATCTTAAAATAAGAAAATGAGAAATAGAAATTGGATTTGATTGATTATGAAAAAATTATTAGAGAGTTAAGATAGAAAATATAAGAACTTGAACTTATTATTGTGGAAAAAGAAAAGAAAATTGTGGAGCAAGAAAAGTCAATTAAAAAGTTATAGACATTGCTTGTACAATTTAAGACATTATCAGAAGAAATGGCTTAAATCAATTGATATCATTTACAATATTAAATAAAATTATTATTCATAAATTTAATGAAAAAAACCTAATCTCTATTTAAAAGAGTTATAATTTCGACTGAAAGGGGAAAGTACAAAGCCTGCTAAGTTTGTTAGAAAAAATTTGGAACAGAACATCAATGCAAAAGGTATATGTTGCATATATTTTATAGATGTAAAAGAGCTGTCTGTGATAAGTGTTCTAGTTATAAAGGAAGAGTATTTACAGAATCTGGATAAGAAGAAAAAGCTTTTCATAGATAATGTAAAGTTTGTAAGGAAGAAAGTGATTCAATAAAAAAATTTGTGGATTCTAATAGAACATAATTTCTTTAAGATACTAAGGCAATAGAGTGGTTAAAGTAGTTTGGAGTTACAAAAGAATAAGCTAAAGCAGTAATTTATATATGTATATTATATCTTAGGAATATTTGTAAGCGTAAAGCAAGATTTCGCAGAGTGAATAATCAGAAGTCAGAAAACTCAAAAATAATCTAAATATAGCATTTGCTGAGATTCCTGGGGTTTTTAATTATTCATTTAGAGAGTTTATTTACTACGTAATTAAGGAAAATGAATATGAAACATTGAAATAAGTAACAGGTAGAGTGCTAGAAACATTTCTTTCTAATTATCATGAAGTTGGGTTTTCACCAGATTTAATTATGTTGACTGTTTTTTTCCTTTGTTTTGGAACAGAATCATCTGCATTCTCTTTGCTAAACATTTTTTTTGCAGAAATAATATAAGCAAATTTATATCCTTCCAATATCATGTCGTATGACAATGGCGAAGATATTGATAGAGTAGTTTTAGTTCTTAGTTCTTCATTTAAAATGCAATAACAAGACAAACCATTAATAACAAATTTTTTGAAATCAAGATTAATAAAATATTAACAGTGTTTTACTATAAATATGTTACAATTTGAATCAACATATTATGTTATTGATTCATTATATTCTTTGCAGTAAAAAGCATAAGATGAATTTATTAAATTTATTGCATCTGCTATGTCATAGAATATTGGTGATGTAAAAGCTAATCAATTGCATATTGAAGAAATTGAAGTTATTTTGTTAAGATAGGTTAAATATTCTATGATTGAAGAAGGATATTTTAAAACAAAAAGTGTATAATTTTCACCCTATGTGAAAACAATGTCAAGGTCTTAAATTACAAGCAGATTTTCTTCTGTTATTTAAGATTCTACATCAAGCAATATGGATTTTGATAGAGTGACTATTTTACAAAAAATTGTAGATAATTAAAAAGAAGAAATTGCAAAATTAAATTCTTAAATAACTGGAACAGAATTGGTTAGAAAAAGAACTGTTTAATTAAAATAAAAAGATCAAAATAATATATAGAATGATTTAAAATAAGTTGAAGATGAAGACTTAGTATTTTCTAATTTGAGAAGAAAGACATTGCATCTTCTTAATTAAGAAGAAGTTAATGAAGATGTTGCTATTTTGACAGATTATATCAATAAATTAGAAGAGGTTTTGATATTAAAGCATAGAGTAGTCAAGGATTAAAATATTAAAATATTAGAAATTTAAGAAAAAAATTAAATATTATTTGAAGAAATATAAAAATTAAAAAAAGAAGTTTAATTATCTGAAGTTAAATTTATAGATTAAACTAAAATTACTCATTAGATTGAAAAAGAAGTAAATGAAAAATCTAGAATTATTGATGAATATAAGAAAAAAAATAAAGAATTGTAAGACAATTTGATATCAGCTTAAAATGAAAACAATAAATATAAAATTTAACTACTTGAAGTTAGAGCTTTAGAAGGAACATAAGCTATTAGTGATGGATTTAAATAAAATACATATTAGAGAGAAGTTTAAAGTTTATAAGATGAAACTGCTAGACTTAAAAAACAAATTTCAGAATTAGAAAATTAGATTTTAGAATAAAATTCAAAATCAAGTGATTAGAATGAAACAAGAAAGCTTTAAATTTAAATAACTTAACTTGAATAATCAAAATTTTTGATTAATGCTTAATTGAGTTAAAGAGAGGCAACAATAACCTAATTATAAAGATAAATTTAAGGACTTTTGGATGAAAGTAGCATTAAATCTGAAAGTGATTAAATTATTCAAGAAAAAAAGAAAAATGCTGAGTTATAACTGTAAATAAGTAATTATTTAAACTCAGAAAAAGTGTGGAAATCTAAGTTTAGTGATATTGAACATAAACTTAAAGAATAAGTATTAATAAATTAAGAATTGAAAACTAAAGTTAACTCATCAAATTCTTCTATTACAATAACAAAGGATGAAAATGAGAGAAGCTATTAAAGAATTAGGGAACAATTATAATTAGAATTGGAAGCTAAAACAGCTCTTACAAAATAATTGTTTTAACAAATAGAAGAATTGTCTATTAAATTAAATTAAGAAAGAACTAAATTTTAAAACTTATAGATTGATTATGATCAATTGTTAGAATAAACTAATTTTAGATAAAATAGGTCTTAAACAATATAACAATAAAACTAATAAAAAGATTAAAGAATTTAAGAATTTAGTGCATAAATAGAATAATTATAATTAGAATTGTCTAAAGCAAAATCATAATAAACTTAATTATCTACTATGCATCAGAATCTTTAAGATAATTTTAAAGCAGCAGAAATGAAAATAGTGGAATTAGAGCATTCAAAAAGAATGTATGATAGAACAATTTAAGAAAAAGTAGAATTAATAACTTCATATGAAACTAAAATAAAAGAATTAAATACTTAAAAGGCATAATTAGATGATTAATTAACAGAAAGTTTAAAAAAATAAAGTGATTACAGGGTTTAATTAGAGGGTATTTAATTTTAGGTTGGAAATAAAGGAAGAGAATAAGAAAGTTTGAAATAAAAAATTGAAGAACAAGAATTAATAATATTAGGTTATAAGGAAATGATACATAAAGTTAAGGAATCTAACGAATATGAATAAAATGAAAAATCAATCCTTGGAAATGAATAAGAAAATCTTAAAAAATAATTACACATGAAAGAGGAATAAATTAAATCAAAATAAGAATAAATTAATAGTTTAAATGAATAGATGAGAAGTTTGAATGAAAAAGTGTCTAATTTAGAATAATAAAGAACACTTTAACTAAAATAAGTGAAACATTTGGAAGATTCATTAAATTCAAAAGAGAGAGAACATATGACAGAAGTATCTAAATTAATTTCTGAAAGAGATTTATCTAAATAACGGGTTAATGATAGTGAAGCTTAGATATTAAAATTACAATAAAATGATAAGAAATTAAAAAATGAAATTTCAAACTTAAATGAAGAATTATAATAATAATTATTAACACAGGAGCAATTAAACCGATAAATTAAAGATTATGAGATTTAATAAAATTCTTCAAGGGAAATGTCTCTTGAAAATAACAAAGTCTAATAAATAAGATTAGAGAAGTTGGAACAACAAAACTAAAATATGAATATCAAGATTGAAGCTTAAGGTTAAGAGATTAAATCCTATATTGCAAAAATAGAAGAATAATTAACAACCATAACTGAATTAAAATTTAAAGTATAAGATGAAGAAAGCTAAAGAAAAGCAAAAGAAAAATAAGCTAATGATAAAATTTAATAAATAGGTTTGTTAGAGAATTAATTAGTAAAAATATAAGAAAAGTATAATTAATGTAATAGGTAATTATAAGAGATATAAAATCAATATGATGATCTTAAAAAAAAACATGATTTCGAATCAAATAATATGCAATCTTTGTAAAGCAAATCAATTGAATATAATTCATTGTAATAAAGATACATTGATTAAAGTCAAAAGATAAGTTCTTTAGAAAAATAATTATTGGATTATAATGAAATCTCAGATCAATATTAAAAGCAAAAACGAGAACTTTAAAGTTTAACGGATTTGCTTGATTCAAAGTTAGCAACTATTATAGCTCATGAAACTAAAATTATTGATTTAACAAATTAATTAAAAGAATCTAATTAATAATTATAATAAGTAAGAAGAGAAAATCATGAAATTATGCAAAAGAGAGCTTAAGATATGCAAGCTATGGCTTAATTAAAATAAATAGAAGTAGAAAATGGAGAATTAAAATAATAAGTTTATTCTCATGAAGCAACTATTTAAAATTAAGAAGCTTTATTATCAGTTTTAAAAGGAAATTAATTAAATTTAGAATAAAGCTAAATGAAATTAAAAATTGATTATCAACATTTGGAAGAAAAATATAATGAAAAATTGTAAGATTTAGATGAAAAATCTAAGACTCTTATCAATCTCTAAAATAAATTTGATTCGTTAAACTATAGAGTTTCATAATATGAAGAGAATTTAAGAATAATAGAAGAATAGAGAGATGATTATTAAAGTAAATATGAATTGGCGTTGCAGGAATTAGATATATATAAAGGAAAGGATAAAGAAATTAATCAAATGGCAACTAATAAAATAGAACTATAAGAATAAATGCATTCGATCTAAAAGAAAAATAAAATCTTAGAGAGAGAATTATAAGTTGCTTAAAATGGATTATAATCAAAAGAATCGGATATTTTACAACTTTAACATACTATATAGAAAAAGGAATAATAAATAACTACATTAGAAGGAGCAATAGTTAAACTTAAATCTGATTTATCTAATTCAAAAAATTCTTATGAATAATTACAATTAGAATTAACTGAAATGAATTCAGAATAAACTTCATCAGGTGAATTGTTTTCTTAGGTTAAAAAATTAACTAGTGATAATTTAAATAAAAACACTTAAATTGATTAATTAAAATTATAAATTAATGAATTATAAGATAAAAATAGAAATCTTGAAAAATAATATAATAAATTAAGAGGAGATGCTTTTGTAGGAAATACAGTAAATTCTGATTCTTTTGAATTAAGACAAAGATTAGAAGAATTAGAAAGTTAATTTAATAAGTCCTAATTTACAATCAAACAAAAAGATTAATAAATTCAAGAATTAAAATATTAACTTGAAAATTAAAATTAATAAACAGTACCTTAAAAAGAAAAATAGAATAATAAATAGCAAAAGAATCACACTAATGATACTGACAATATGAAAATATAAGAATATTAATTTATTATTGAATAATAGACAGAAGAAATAGAAAATTTGAAAAGAAATTCATAAGGTTTAGGAGAAGAATTAACAGAATTACTAACTTAAATTGTAAGTGTGTTCTTAAAAAAGAAAATAAAAAAAGATTAATTAACTATTGCAACAGTTCTTGATTAAATTAAAGTATTTTAAAAGGAAAATAAAAGTTTAACAATTAGAGAAGAGGATGATGAATAAGTAGTGCTGTAAAAGCTCTAATAATATAGAGGTGACTATATCAACTTTAGATTTCGGGTTGAATAAAATTTAACAAGAATAACTGTTTTAAAGTAACAAATGCTTTAAGTTATATCTGAAGCAAAGATTTTTGGAAAGAAAAAAGATGTAGATAAAAATATGGATGTAGAAAACTTAGTGATGTATTTAAAGTTGCTTTTAGATTCCTAAGCTGTTTAGTATAGCAATTAATTGTAACTATGTTAATAATATGAAGCCGAATTAAAATCATATTAAAATAATACAAGTCCTTAAGGTTAAATTATATAATAAGTCAAAGAATTATTATCAAAGGCCCCATTTTTAACATAATAATAAATATACTAATTTACAGAACCAAAAGTTTCTATTAAATTAAGAAAAGATTAAGATTAAGAAGATGCCAGACTATTATTAGAAGCAAGAAATTAATAAATTTAATGGCTTAAAAATTTGATTAATGAAAAATAAGACCAATTAGCGGTAATGAACACATATTTAACAAATTTGAAATAACTGATGGACAAATATCATTTGAAATGAAGATTAAATTTATTTAAATAGAAAAGTATAAAAATAAAAAATCCTTAATCAACGGAATATTCTTGATTCTGTAAGGTTGGTCTCAAAATTGTTAAACCTATTCTCAGACATTCCTCTTGGTCTATATTATGATTTGATCATATTTTCTTTATTCATAGGTTTTGATAATTTGTTATTATTGTTTATTTTTTATAATTCTGATAACTAGATATATAATTTTTATATTTCTTAATCTTTTTATTAGCTATCTTATTCATTTTTTTTTTGATATCTTTATCTTAAAACCTATAATTGCTAAACGTAATTATTATTTAAATTGTTTTAAAAACTGCACTAATTCATATTCGAAAACCCTTCCATTTATGTTTCATTAATATTTTATTATAAGTTGGTGATTGTTTTAGTTAATTTTATATTAAGTTCTTATTAATCTATCAATTTGATTGTGATTACCTATTTTTACTATTCTGATAACTACAATTTTTGATTTAGTTATAATATTTCTTATCTTAAGCAATTATTTTCCTCAATTAGTTTCTAATCAGTAGATTTTCTAATTTAAAATAAATTAAAACTAATCAAGTTCCTCATATAATGATTGTAATTCTGAACGCAACGAGAAATTTTCATTTTGCAATTCTATGAATTTGTTAATATCCATTTAATTAAAGAAAATATATGAAATCAATATTTCAGTTAATTGTTTATATATAAAGAAAATTTCATTTACTTTTTAATTTGTTTTTGTAAATATTTTTGAAAACAGTGAGTAGTTTAATAATGTATTCTTTATCTCCTTTGAGCAATTTTTCTTATTCTAAGACAAGTTCTAAAGGCATATCTAATTTATCTTTCAACACACTAAAAGCTTTTCTTATATTAACTAAACAACCAGCATTAGTGTTAGGTTTTTATTGTAATCCTTTAAATTAAATATTTTCGAGCTTTTGTACTAATGTACAGATAATAATACTAATAAATTAATAATAATTATTACCCATCTTTAAATTCTTCTAAAATTTCATTATTCCAATTAATTTTGAACCCAAAATTATTAAGCCATTCAAATTAAGGAGGATCATCAAATATTAATTTTTTATTTACTTATTATGGTTAAACAAAGCTACCTTCTTTTTAAATGAGAGAATAAGGTTCTTATTAGATTAAATGTCCAAGTTTAGAATTAGGCTTACTTTAAACAATAGATTTTTTAAGATAAGGACCATCTTCAAAATAAGTTTCTCCTAGTCTTTAAGGTAATCCATCAAAGTATCTCCTTAAATCTTCAAATAAACCCAAAATAATAAGTTAATCACCTTCATATATTAATTTTTCAGACCATACAAATCTTTAACCAATTTGTTTTCCTTTTAAATAATCTAAAGCTTTTCTAATATTAGCTAAACATTGCTTTTCTCCAATTGGTTTAGTATAAATGGGATTTATTTTTTATTAGAATATTTCAGTTTCAATTTAACATAACAATAAGCCAGTTTAACATTGAAAAATGAGATCATTAAAATTCTGTAAAGTAGATGTATATTCCCTTGCAAAATGAAGAGTAACAAGTTTTAATTAATCAATCTCTTCTTATCTGTAAGGAAGTGTAAATTAAGTTGTAATAGGTTCAATCTTTTTTGTTTATTATTTTAATAGCCACCAATATAAACCCATAGCAGATTTATCTAGTTGCATTATACTAGATTTATTTATTTTTCCTATCCAAGCTGGTAAATTTCCAGCATCTACTATAGCTTTTGTAGCTTATAATGCAGCATCTACATTAAACTCAACTTCTAAAATAGACTTAAAATTGTTATTATTGATTGGCTATTCTAATAATTATAATATATAGTTTCCATTACGAATTGGATCTGTAAACAAACTAAATTAATTTAGTATACATACTTATCATTATTATAAAGTCCTTTTTATTTGAAATAAGTTTATACATACAACTCCATTTCTCTAGTTACACAATTTTTACTTATAGATGCTGATCTAGCTTTTTATTATTATTTTGAACTGCTAAAATTTCTAGAATGCTACAATGATTAATTAACAGGAGTCCCATTTTATGAACCAACATTTGATTTTTTCATCAATGAATTCAAAGATCTATTTACACTATCATATTCTTATTTCATATTATGTATTCTTGAATAAGGACCAACTGGTGATCTATTGGCTGTGCTTGGCTTTACAGACTTTGATTATTAAGGTTAATCTATTGTTATTTCTAATTATGCATCTCCAAAAGATTGTTTATGCTATTACTTTTTTTAAGAATATGTTATTTATTATTATAATTAAGATTAAGATGTTTATTAAAATGACTATGGATTTTATTAAACTTATTATTATTTCTATGTTTATCTTAATGATGTATCTACAGATTAGGAACAATTAGCTATGGCTACATTACCACAATTTGCATAATAAAATTTAATATCATGCATCAAACCCCAAAAAACTCCTTCATCACCATCTACCAACTATTATTCTGAGTTTAAATATTTGTAACTCATTCTTTCAAGTTATTTTAAATACTCAAGTACTCTTCTATAATTATGTCTTATTTCTCTTAGACTCTTTGGATTTCTTAAAGCTCCTTTGAGAACTTCATCTCGACCTGTTAGTCTATTAATTAAATCAAAAAAAATAACTCCATTTTTACAAATTTTTGGTAATTTTATTTCTAATCCTTATGCATTTGATTTAATTAAGCGAATTTATTTTAACCATTCAATCAATTATAATTTTTATTCAGTTGTAATAGAATTTTATTATTATTATTGTTATTATTATTATTATTATTATTAATTAAACTGATAATCCTGATTTAATTCCTCATGTTGACTTTAACTTACTTAATTATGTTTTGATTTGTTTTCTCTAATGGTTTTTTATTAGAAATTTTATTATTCTTTTGCTAGTTGATTCTCTAAGATTTAAAGTTCATTCTTTAGTTTTTAATTATATGACTCTTTAGATTTAATTGGAGTCAAATTACTAATTGAATCGTTCGATTAATTTTAAGGCTTTGATCTATTTGAGTTTTCAGCATATTCAGTTTAATGAGTTTGTGATCTCTATTAATTATTATTAGTTTCTTAATAAGGGCTATTTGGTTTAATCATTTTGTATTTATTTGCAATAATTTCTTCATTTGATGTAATCTAGATTGATTGATTTGGTTAGACTAAATTTTCATCAACATAAAATAACGCTTCATCTTACTTTTATGGTGCTTTTGGTGGTTTTGATGATGCTGATGACACAGATTTTGATCTATAAAATTATTATAGAATCTAAAAAATCTTTAATGGATTTTGGTAAAGCATTTATCCAGTCAAATGTTTCACTGATATCTATTGACTTTCTTCTAACAATGTCAATGCAAATGTTAAATTTCTTATGCAACTTTAATAGTCTTATTTTGTGCAATTTATTACCCTAATCTTTAATTCACATTATCTTTTGTCTTAAAATAATTCTTTTGAAATTATCTAGCATAATGCAACACCTCAAAATTTTTATATAAGATACCTGTTTTAAGATCATCAATACTCTTTGTGTTTTCAAAAGTATTAGCCCAGTCTATTATTTCTTATTCCATTCAAATTTAATATAACAGTTAATAATAATTTATTTATCATTTTGATATTTGCAATTTATTATATTAATCCTCTAACTAAGCCAAGAGTCTTTCAAAATCATTAACTCTAAATGAGGTAAAAAATCTGGATTTATTTGTAATTATAGGAACTCCTCTAGAAATTGATTATCTCTCTTCATCTAATACCTTAAGATTCATTTTAGTAGCTAAAATACTAATCAATTGATAATACTTTCTAATTTTTATGAATATTTTGAATAATAGGCTCTTTCCAATTCATCAAGTTAAATAGACTATTTTTTTTACTATTACATAATATTAGCTTAATGACTCGGATTTATTTAATATGATGATTAATTCTCCTATACTAATTACACTTACACATGCAAGGGCCCTTATGATTTATTTTATTAAATCTATTATTATTATAGTATTTATTATTATTGTTATAACTATGATTATTATTATTATTATTGTTATTATTATTAGTAATTATATTATTAATCTTATCCCTTTTATTCAAATCTTCTGGATGGAGATTTATTATTAATTTATGCTTTAGGGCTTTAAGGGATATCTTCATTTCCATCAAATTCTGGATCATCCAAAGTGTTTCCAGCATTCCAGCAATTTTTAACTTTAGATTTAACTGTTTTAGGATCTACTTTTGGATTTTTTAATGGAATTTATTTAGATTTTCTTTTTAAAAAATTTTTAGGTTTTTAATCGGATGCATCATCTTTAGGAGAGCATTCTCCTATTAATTCTTTTGTGGGAGTTTATCTTTCAGGGGTAGCACTAAAATTGATTTTACTTGGTTTAGGTGATAATTATTATTATTATTTATCTTATAGATTTTTTTATGATAAAACCTACTTTTTCTGAAGTATTTATTATTATGGTTATGATTCAGCTTCCTTTTCTTATTATTCAACTACTTCTTCTTCTATATCAGCTTAATCAATTTATTACTATTCTTCTTATTTTTTTTTAGCTTCTTAAATTGCTTTTCTAGGATCATATTTGGTTCTTTTTTTAAGATTTTCTAAAAGTTTAGGATCTTTCTTTTTTTGTTTGGGTTTCTCCTAATTATTTTAATCTTCATTTTATATTTTTCCAAAAGGTGGTGGTTCATTTTCATTTTAATTATCATATATATTTTATTATGGATCATCTTATTATTTACTTTCCTTTTTTTATTCATTTTTTTTTCTTTGAGGTTACTTCTATTTTTTAGGAGGAGCTTCATCCTCATAACTACCATATGTACCTTTTCCATTTATAGGTATGTCATCAGCAGGTAAATTATATTAACCTTTACCACCTAATGGTCTATCATCTTCAAATTATTAATATTATCCAGTTTTAGCTATAGGTCTATCATTTTCTTAATATTCTTAATCTATTTAAAATTTATCTTTTCCTTTTTTTATTGGTCTTTCATCTTCTAGATAATTATATTATGAATTATTATTTTTTGCATTTATAGGTCTATCATCATCATAATAATTATTCATATTTTTCGTTGTTATGGGCCTATCATCTTCAAAATAGTTTTGATTATTTGCATTTTTTCCATTGATTGGTCTATCATCTTCAGCATAAGTATATTTACCTTTTCCACATATAGGTCTGTCATCATCGAAAGAATTTCTTTCAGGTGTTCTCCTATCTTAAACAGCTAAATTTTATTAATTTTTAGAATTCAATGGTCTTTCATCTTATTAATAATCTAATCTTTAAGGTTGATTATATTATCTTGACAAATTTTAATTTGAATAACTTTTCTCATGAATTTATGATTGTTATTATATATATTCTTAACAATATCCTTATTGTTATTCGGAATATTCATTTTGTATTTATTAGTCATAATATTATTATTCAACTTAATTTTATTATAGAGTCTATTTTTAAGGTTGTTTGTAATAGTTTTATTATTATTTAAAGTCTTAAGTAACAAATTCGTTATCTAACCATTGATTAGGAAGGAATTATTTTTAAGAACTTTTGATTCTTTTAAGTTTTTTATAAAATTGTCCATTATGTAAATAGTTTTCAATCATTTTTATTAATCTTATCTTTTTTTATCTAATTTATGGATTTCCATATGCTTAATATAATTATTTAGATATTTACTTCCATCATCAGTTTCTATAATATTTTGTTTTAACTTAGCTACATCAGGAACTTTCATAATTTATCTAGTTCTATATCCTTATAAATAGAAAAGATGAACAACCTTAAATAAATCCATTTAAAATGGCTTTGAATCTTCTGATATGCATCATAATAATTTTATGTCTCTATCTTTAAATGTATCCCTTCACATTCTTTTAAATTAAGGTAGCACAAAAGTTAAGGAATCGAAGTATCATTTCCTGATTCTTTAATGAGTCTTATCGTTACATTATAATTTAAAATAAAATTTGATTTAATAAAATGTTAGAATCATTCATTCACTAGCTTCAATTATATTGATTTGAGTATTTCCAAATGTATTTAGTCTTAAATCTAATCCTATTTCATCTAAAGTGCTTTAAGCCTTTTATCTAGCAGATGTAATTCTTTTATCAATTTCACTAAAATCAACTGGATCAGTCATTAAAATATGAGATCTTGAAGGTGAACCTTAAGTATTGAATGAACGAAATTATGACTCAATCATTTCTATCATAATAAATTATAATACCTCTTTACTTTTCTAATGGATTAAGAAAAGTAGCAAAACTATCTACTTAAGGATGTAAGATTTGCAAAAGAATTTAATAATTTGGTCTTCCTTCATTATGAAATTTAAGCATTGATTTTACAATAGATTTAAAGAAATCACTATGTTAGTATCTTAAACAATATTTATTTATTAGTTAATCTACATAGTCTTTTTTAAATTATAGTCTTTCTTAATTAAAAAACTCAACACATCTTTATCCACTCATAAGACTTACCATCATAAGACCTAAACAAAAAACATTTACTAATTCTTAATCTGTATTATCATTTTAATTTTTTTCAGCTAAAAGAATTAATTATTCTGGAGCTATATACTCTAAATCTCTTTAACCAAGAAGTACTTAATAATAGTTACTTAGTTTTGAATTGTCAAGAAATTAATCAAAATATTTGATTTATCTTTTATCATCAATAAGAATCCGTTATGGATAAATATCTATAATTTCATTATTAAGTGTTTTCATGTAATGGCATAAATTAGCTATTTCATATAAAATATAGCATAGCTCTTATTCTGAATAAGATGTTTTATGAACCTTTCTTAAATGAATATCATTTAATAATGTTTCCTTTAAATATTCAACTGTTATTGATAATATTATAAATGAACTACAAAAGTCATCTATCTTTCCACTATCATATGAGAATATTTTAACCAAGCATTTATGATTCAACTGCAATCTCACTTTACTTCAACATAATACCTTTTTACTAAATTGCCTTGTATTGTATTTGCTATGGCATTACTATTGAACACTTTTTTTATTTCTGTCTCAATAAGGTTGTTAGTTTTATTTTTATATATATTAATTTCTCCATAATTAGGATCCAATTTCTTTTCTATAAACTCTTTTTCATATTCACTTGATTATTAATTACCCATTTTTTAATTTTAATTTTATTTTTAAATTAAATTTATTTTCTTCTTATTATTAATGTAAGAAGTCATATTAACTAATGATGCAAAATCAAAAATACTCCACGATTATTTATCTTAAACCTATGTTCCTTAACTTAGTGATCATCTATTTAAGACTGAAGAATATTTAAAATAAGAAGCTTTAGATTTCGAAAAGTTTCAATCATTACTAATTTTAGAATTATTAATTAAAGTGATGAATTAACAGAAAATTTACTTGAAAAAAAGACCACAATTAGTAAAACTGTTAAATAACTTATTGATAAAATATAATCTGAAGAAGTAAATATATATATTTATACAAAGGATAAACTCAAAAAAAGTGAAACCTATAAAAAAGGTAAAAAGGATGAATTAGCTGCTATTTAAAAAGCTATTGATTCTATTTCAAGTGCTATGAAAGAAACTTGTTCAAAAGTATTATATATATAAATATAATTCAGATTGATTCTAAAGAACTTAATAAAATAGGATAATTACCATAAGGAATGGATTAATTTATGTCCAAATTATTCCATATAATTTATAATGAAGATCAAAGTAAATTTAATTGGGGTGATTTCAAAAAGAAAGTGTATTTATTTTTTATAAATTAAATAAAGTTTTGATTAAGATAAAGGAGCTGATTTTTAAAGTAGATTAGCAAACTTTTAATTTAAGTCAGTAAGTTAAGAAAAAGAAAACCTATTATTAGAAATGAAAGCTGATCCATAATTCTAGAAGGTGTTTTAAGATCCCTAATATACAAAAGCATTTTTAGACATAGCTGATTGGGTAGATATATATAGATTTATTATAAAAGATTCACTTTGCTGTGTCAGGAATAGAAAACTAAAGAAAAAAGGATTAATCAGCAGTAGAATTTGAAAGAATTGATAAAGAATTTGCAGGAAGAAAAGTAGAATTAGAAAGTTATTAGAGAACTCATGTATATTTAATAATTATATAAAATAGGATTTTTGGGTTTCATAATTGAAATATATAGAAGATTAATAAATTTTATTGCATTAATTGTTACCCAATATTAAACAAGTAACTCAAGAAATTTAGGGTAGCAAAGGTTTACTAGAATAACATATTGTAAAATTCATTTAAGGAGCTGAATAAGTAAATGAATTGATGATTCCAAACATTTGAAAGTATAATAAAAATATTTATTTATAAGTCATATTTTTTTACAAAATTTGTATTCATTTATCTGATCTAGAGGATAATTTTAATTTATTCCAATATTTACCATATCTTGATTTATGTAAATCAGTCATAGTTTATTTTAGTCTTTCTTTCTATAGATTTTAATATTCAAGTAAACTTAATTCTGCTTAATGTTATTATCTTATTTCCTATAGAGATTCAACTCTTGTTTCTTGACCTGCATCCATTCTTTATAATAACTATTTCATAAAATCTTCTCCTTTTTTATCATCTTTCTTATATTAAGGTATTAATTTAGCTTTTTCATTGAATTTTTCATACTTAGTTATCATTCTCTCTATCTTTCCTTCCTAAAATAACATAAAATTAATTTTTTTAGTTAATCCTTCTTCAACTTTATGTCCTAACATTTAATTTAAATTTTACTTGATTATCGAGATGATATATTTTCACTAAAATTAGCGTATTTGTTTTTCATATATTACTTTTATCTAAAATCTAACTAAGGTAAAACAATTTAAGATTGAATGTCTCTATTGCCATAATGATATATTCTTTATCCTACTTTTTGCATTTCCTTTTAAACAAATAAAGGTTATTTCTAAAATTTAGTTTCAAGAAATTCAATTATTTATTCTGGAGACTTTAATCTATTTTGAATTAAAGAAGCATAACTATCAAGTTAATCTTATGCTTTTAGTTCTTTATCAAAAAAATGAGCTATACTATCTATTTATTAATACCATCTATCTACCTTAATTTTCTTTGATTTATATAGGTTTTTATGGTTGTCTGTTTTATTCTCTTAATTATTCTTGAAGTTCTCTCCCTTTTTATGTCACTGTTATTCTTTAAGATAATGACATAATAAATTTTTTATACTTTAATATATAAATTAACCTATCAAATTCATGAAAAATAATCTTTATCAATTATTAGATTAAGCTAATGTTAAAAGAGTGAAATCGGAATCTGAATTATCTAAACCATAATCACTTTTTGGAAGATCAAAGAATTTAGAAGACTCAAATTAATTTTATCTATTAGATTTATATCATAAAGGATTATATGAAAAAATTTGTGCTGAATGTTAAAAATCTCAAAATAACTTTAAAATCTTATTTTCTATTAATGAATCTGATTTTAAATTATAAGTTTATATTACCCAAGATTATTCATATTAAAAAATAGAATATTTATCTCTAAATTAGTTAAGAGAATTCCCTAAACTATTTAAAGTTATACATAATAAAACTGGGGAAAATTCATTGTAATCAGATTTACTATTATTGCCTAATGAAAATATGTATTATATTTATTAATTTCTATTAGAATATTGGGAAGATTTAGTATTGATAAAATACCTATTTAAATTCCTAGTTAAATATATTATAACTCTAATCCCTGGTTTGAAATAGGTTATGCTGTTGAAAGATTTAGTTTAAATTATGAAGGCTTTGAAAAATAATCTTTATATGTAGGAGAAATAAATGATAGATATAATCCTATAAATGAAGGATATTTTAAAAACACTAAATTTAAATTAAGTGCGACCTTTGCAGATGGATTTTTTACAGGAAAAATTAACCTTGAAAAATATTCAGATAATAAAAAATATGTTCTTGAAAGAAATAATGAAAAAACTTTATTACCTATTTACTATAATTAGAATAATTTAATAGATTTTTTCACCTTTAAAACCATTTTTGAAGGTCGATGGATAAATCAAAAAATTTTGGATATTTATTTAGATTAATTTACTAGAGAGTATAAAATGATAAATGAAAAAAAATAAACAATGATGAATTATTAAAATTATGTGATTAATTCTTGTGATTGTGCAGATATATTTTCAAGTGATATTTTTGATTAACAATTTTATTTAGAAGAAAAATGGAAAGCATTTTAGGCAGATCATAATATTGATATTAATAATCTTAAAAATAGATTTATTTTGGCATTAAATTTAAATAGATCTCATTTTATTGTTTTAGTTTTAGAATTTGATCCAAACGAGAAACAGGGTACAATTTATCTATTAGACTCAATACCTAATCCTTTTACAAAAAAATAATTTGAAACAGGATAATAAAATATATAAAGTTTATTTCCTAATTTTATCATCAAAAAAGAGATATAAAGAATAGATAAAAATAAGATAGAAATATAAAAAAATGGTTATGATTGTGGAATTCATTGCATATACAATTCTATTTAAGTGTTTAAAGAAAAAAATAAAAAAATGACTGATATTAATTTTAAAATTGAAGATAAACATAAAATAAATAGATTGAGAAGACATGTTTATTTGACTATGGTTAATAATTATTCTAATTTTTTTGATTATTGAGATTGAATAGAATACATTAAATTAGAATATATAATTATTATGAAATTTGATAAATTGCATTCTCATAATTCAACTCCAAAAACAGTTGAATTTATATCAACAACTAAATCAACATTTGTACCTCCACCACTTGGTTTAGAAATCGTTACTATGCCTAATAACAAAATTTTTGATCTATTTTTAAAAGGATCTATTAGTGCAAAATAAATGTTATTAATGGATAATAATGATATCGATAAATCTGCTAGAATTCCTCCAAAACGTTAATAAACAAGACATAAATCAACTAAAAAAAACTAATCTGACTAAATTTTTAATCTTGTTGAAAGATTCTAACAATAAAGAAAATAATCTATTCTAATTACATAAAATCAAAAACCTATTAATCCACCAAAATTATGTAGGAAAGAAACATTAATGTAATTGACATCTAGTACAAAAGAATTGATCTAACCAATTTAATAATCTAGATTCAGAATACCAGTTAGAAAATTTTCTTAAAGAAGTACTTCTAGTGGTAAAGAAGAATAATTAATAAAAAGATGTGAAAAACTAAGTGGAGAACGTTTAAATGAAGAGGAAAAAGAACTATTATTAAAAAAAGATATAACTGATGAAGATACATGGAAGATAATGAATGTATTTTAAAAGAAAAAATGGTTTTTTGATTATGTTCACAGAAATTTAGATTAATAAAAGTAATAATCAAGTTAACAAGAAATTAAATAATAGGGCTAATCTATTTCTTTATTTTAAAAATTAAGAAATACTGTACTCAAACAATCAGAAGTCAAAAGAAAACCTGAAAAATTATGTTAAGAATATTACAATCATATTTAAAAGTATATTTATTAGTTATATAGTATTGAAGATTAAATCAAATATCATGTTTTTAATAGAAATTTACCTGAATAAATTAGAAATCATAAAAAGCCTAATGTTAAAATGTATAGATCTGAATCAGAAGTTTCAAAATTAAATATCAGAAATAAGTTTATTGAAGCAGTAGACAAGTTTAACATCAATTAATCTAATCCTTAAATTTTAAAGGATTTTTTTGAAAATGAAAGCTAAACTTGCAGATCCTAAGCTAGAATATCAAAAACAAAACTTACTTCTAGAAAAGTTCAAAGACCATAATTATCTTAAGAAAATGATATTTCTCATGAAAGTTAAGGAGATTCTTATAAAAGTATAACAGAATTCAGACTCAATGAGTTGTATCATGAAAGTAAATAAAGATAAAAATAATATAAATAAAAATATGACACTCCTTTCATTGATAATGGGGATTAATTATAAAGAAAAGTAAAAAATTTAGTCAGATTAGGTAATTTATAGAATACTATTTTAAATGTGGTTTCATTTAAACTACAATAATGAACTTTTCTTTTTTATAAAAATAAATATGAAAATTTATTTAATATTTGATATATGCTTTAAAACAAAATTTATTAACTAAATACACCTAAGAGAGGAGTTTCTCATTCTGAATCTATAAAGAAAAAACTATTAAGACTAAATCTTGATTCATTGAAAACTCATGAAACAGAAACCTAAATGAATAGCGATTTACTAACCACCAGTAGAGCTCATCATTATAAATCAATTAGTTCAACTTTGTTCTAAAGAAAAAACAGTAAATATCCAGCAATCTTGTAACAGTTATAATAATAATACTCAACAGCATTTAAAAATAAAGAACTTGATAAGGCAATCGATGCAGTTGTAGATGTTATGATTTTATAAGTTGTAAGAGACAACATTATTGGATTGTTTAATGCTTATGTATTAGTAGCAGAAACATACTTAAAATTTACATATTACTCTTCAGCAATCCAAACTTTTACATAATTAGTAATTAAAATGATTATTTTAGTTGTATTTATGTGATATATGTAATGATGTTGAAGAAGTCTAAAAATCATTTAGATAAAAGGTCTTACTCAAACTCAGTAATTTAGCACATAATTTAAAAATGCATGAAACCGCCGTCAAAATTTTAAAAAAGTTATTACAATATTCTTGGCATTTTAAAGATAAATATTTAGAAGTAGTATGCTTTGATAAACTTGGATAAGAAGCTTATTTATAAGCAAATTTAGAAAAGGCTCAATTTTATCATTGTAGAGCCATTTGGGGAAGATCAGAACCTGAAAATTCTAATCATTATCAGATATCTACTTAAAATATTGGATAGTATTTAAAAAAGCTTCCAAAAGGAATTTAACATATAGATTAAAATTTATTAAGCAAGGCTACTTTTCTACCTTTCACATTTATTAATTCAACATTAAATTAATAAAATAATAATGGTCCATAATATTATTGTGGCATTGAAGTTACTAATTATTATTTAAAAAATATGAATGTGATTAAATAACCCCATAGATTTTTATCTCATGTTACTCCTGAAGCAAGTTTTTAAAAGTTATTTATTACTTCTTAATTTGAATTTGAAATTTCTACTCCGAGATAAGCAAAATAAGATTCACATTCAAATGATCTATTAAGAATAAATCCATAAGATTTATTTATTTCAGTCTTATAAAATTCTAATGATAGAGAAGAACTCTTATATATGAATAAAGTTAAATAATAAAATAAAATGGGTGGATTTGTAAATTATTATTATTATTAATAATTTAGATACCTCCAACATCTTATCGAATTTAAAGGAAAGATTAACCTAAAATTGATAAAAAATTATTGAAATAACCTTTAATTAAAATGATTAATGAAAGATTAACAAGTTAACCAAATTTTACAGAAATAATAGAAGAAAGATATCGTGCTGCTAGAATGAATCATAGTAGAGTTCCTTTAAAAGATCATGTGAGAATTTCTCATTTAAGTCCTAATAGAGATTTACTTAATTATGGAGAATGTTATTAGGCAACTGCTGATCCAGATCAAATGTTTATTACTAATATACTATTTTGAAATTAAGTAGAATTGTTTAAATTTTTAATTCTTTTTAACTAATAAACACTAATAATATGAAAATTAATTTGCTATGCAACTTTTAAATATTTAGAAAATAATTTATTTTAAACTCATTTTATATCATAATCTACCTGAATTCCAAAACCATTTCTTTTTATTTGAAAGAATTGAATTATTATTTAATAAATGTTGGAAAAATTAAAAGCGTAATTCTGCTATTTATATTGGTGATACTTCAAAATCTATATCATCTATTTTAATATCTTAATGCTTAATCAATTACATAGCATTAAATAGTGTATAAATTGAGCAATCATGCCCATTTGTTTATTGTGGTACATTTTTAATTTTTATTTAAGTATCACTAAATTTATCTTTAAAACCTTATTTTGACATTTCTTTTTGAATAAATTATTTGAATTCTTGGATTTTTTCACCTACAATTTTATCCTACCTTTGAGAATTCATAGAATTTAAAATATATATATTTGTTTCTTCAATACATATACATATAAAATGACATCTATCCACATTTAATAATAATATAAATCTATTATCTATTTCAGTACTAATTTTATCAAGAAGCTTTATGGAATATTCTTCATTTATTTTATCAATTTAAGTAATTTAACTTGAAAAAATATCTTATGAATCTCTAGTATCTATCAAAACAATATTAAATAATTTTTTTTTTGATTCATTCTTAATTTTACTAATCAATAATTATTAAAAATAATATTATTTAATTATGTAATCTACTAAAATTTAATTTAACCATTCTCCAGGATATAAAGATTTAGCAAATTTTTCAGTTATACTGGATTCATCTGTAAATGCTATAGATTTTTCATGAATAAATTTCAAGCCATCTTAAATTTCTTATCCATTTTTCATTTTTCCCTTTTTGAAATATTCTTATCCTGAATTAAATGCTTAAAATTCTCCATTAGAAATTGTGTAGAAAAAATTCTCACATTTAAATTAACAAAAATCTGAATCATTATTATTAAATAGTATGCCTTATCCTCTAGGTATTAAGTATACTGGATCTAGATAACCAATAAAATGTAATTAACTTTTAAGAAATAAATTTGAAGGAGGAAGTAGATTTGGCAATACATCATTAAAAATAAAATGAGAACTATTTTAAAGGATTATATTATCATTATGATTGGAATTAGTATATATTCTAAATATTGATTATTGTATACATATTATTATTTGGAAGCAATAATATTTATCGGTAATCTTTTTCTCCAATTTTACGAATTACTTTCTTAATAGTTGTTTTTTTAGGAAACCATATACTTTCAAATATAGAAATTAATTCATCTAAAGTTTTGAAATTTTTCATTTGATTAGATTAGTAATAATTTACAAATAAATTGTTAATTAATTGATTTACTTAAGTTATTTTAACTTTAAATAAGTCATCATTTGGTTCTACATGATATATGGTGTTAATTTCTATATTTTAATTTTAATTTGTGATCAACACAGTTGCAAAGTTAATCTCTCTATTTTTTAAATATTAATCTGTTAACGATAAAATTAAATGTCTGAAACTATTTCTTCCATTCATAGTATAGAGTAATAATTATAAACATTGTTCATGCTCTTTATTTTCTATTTTTTTAGAGAATAATTGATATGCCTTAAAATTATTCATTTTTCTATTAATGAAATATATAATTAATAATAATAAAATATGAAAGGATTTTTTTAAAGATTAATGGGTTCAATGAAATAAGAACCAAATTTAACACAAGCTGGATAATTTTTTAAAAAAGTGAGTGGAACAAACACTTAAAAATTAGATGCAAACAATCCACATATTATAGATAAAATTGATTAATTGAATAGAATAATAGTTAAAGGATAATAAAGAGATTTTTTGATGTTGCGAATAAGATAAGTAATTACAGAGGCATAATTGGGGCACAACATTTCTCCAAAACTTTAAGATGCTTGTGAAGTTGTTCATTATGCATTATTAAATAATATTCCAGTTTTAATATCAAAAGTTAAATTAGTACATCCAGAATTTGATTTTAAAGATTAAGTTATTGTATGAATTAATAAAATAGATAATTATTGATGAAAGAGAGTTTGAAAAATAAAAAGTAGAAGCAAATCCAGAATTAAAATAAGATATAGAAGTAGATGCTTTTTAAAATAAAGATTAAAATGAATACTATGAAAATTAAAGACATAAATGGAAAGAGTAATAGAAAAAGAAAAGATGATATTTGGAATTGAATTATGTTAAATATATGTAATATTTTTATTGAATAATAAAGAAAAGTTAATGTAAAACTAACAAGTTAATGAAAAAATGAATTTTATAGAATATGTAAGATGGGTATTCATGGAAAATTAAAATTCAAGTAGATAAGTGGAAGAAATTGAAAAATTGGATGTATCTTTAGCTAGTCTTCAATAATTAGATGGAGATGACATGGGTAAAATTCATTGGATGTTTAGAAGATGTCAATCATAAGAGATGCTAGATTTATAGACTAAATTTTTTTTAGAAAATCACTTCATACTTAATCACATTTTCTTTTTTCTATTAACAATTATACATAATACTTAAGCGACTTTAGAATAAATATCAAGATTAATGAAATCAATAGGGATAATTTAAGAAGAATATGAATTAAAACTTTATCATATTGAGAATGATGAATTATTAAAATTATCATTTGAAAAAATAAAGATATAAACAATTGATAGCATAAATTAATAAGATTTTTAAAAGTTATTTTAGGTTATTACTATAATCAAGGAAATATCTAAAGTGTAATTTTAAGAATTAAAAGAACTAAATAAAGAATTAGATAATGAAAACTTTAATCTATTTTCAATTGTGTAAAATCTTCCAGCTATCATGCTAGAGATTAATAGCTTTTAAGAAAAAGAATTTGAAGAATAAATAAAAAAATAACAATTACAAGAAAAAAATAAATAAAAAGATAGGTAAAGAAAATCTTAAAAACGATAAAAAGAGAATGAAAAAGTATAACCTTAATAAGTAAAATAAGAGACCATTAGGATGAGTAAAGTAATACATCATTTAAAAGATAAAGATTAACAAAATCAAATATTGTTATTTGATGGAACTATGTAAGATATAAATATAAATTCATAGAATAAGTGGTAAAATTTGGATTCCAAACTAAGATATATATAGTATTCCACTTTCAATTAGCATTTAAAATTAAGTGAAATATTTTAATATCCGTATGACACATTTAAATGAGGGATTAAAAATCGATAATTATACTATATTATAATATTAAGGTCCACTTAATAATTAATTTAATCCTAATGTTAGTAAAGATCAATATTATGAAAATGTTGATGGAATATTAACTTATTACAATGATGCTGATAGTTTTTAGTATAAAGGATGTTTTTAAGATGGATTATTTGATGGTATAGGAAGAATGTACAAATGGGGTTCTTTATAATATATTGGAGATTTTAGAGCAGGAATAAAACATGGATTTGGAAAAGAATGTTTTCAAAATGAAGTATTTTTGCATGGGAAATTTGAAAACAATAAGAAAAATGGAATATTTACATTTTATAAATGTAATGATTATTCAACTAGAGATAAAGTATGGGAGTAACTAAAAAATTAACCATAAAAAATGTATTATTAAGGAAATGAAGTACAATATATATATTAAGCAAATGATTTTAATTCTTAACAACAAAAATCATTAATTGCTCCAAGTCGTTTGATCATAAATTATGGAGATTATGGAATTAATAATTATTAACTTAAATCTCTTTAACCTGGAAGATGGCTTAATTCAGCTATCATTGATATTGTTATTAAATCGATTTAGACTTAAAGATTTCTAATCAATCAAAATTATTAAAATAATACAATCTTTGTTAACTGTGCACAATTTTAAGATATTTTTGGTAGTCTAATAACAAAGGATCAACCTATTGAAACTGAGTAAATAATATATATTATTCTAGAGTTTTTAAAAAAATTATCGATTAACATAACATGTAAAAACCACTTAGATTTGTTTTTTATTTTAATTTGGATAGAAGTCACTTTTTATCAGTAGTTTATGAAGATGAAAAATTGTATTTGTTAGATTCATTGAATAATCGAAATCCTGACTTATTACATTAAATAAAGAAATTATTATAAATTTTTGAATTTAATGTAATAGGTGATTGGTAAGACTTTTTTATAAGTTAATAAAAAAACTCATATGATTGTGGTGTTTATACTATCAATTATTTGTGTTAAATCATCAAAAATATTCAATTGAGTATTCCTGAAATGATTAAAAAAAATTGTTTTAGAATTGAACAATCCAAAATTAATTATATAAGGTATCTAATTGAAAAGAATTTCTTACAATTAGGCATTGAGCTCTTATAAATATGATTTCTGATATTTTTGTTCAATAAAAATATTTAATTACTTGTGTATATATATTATACATAAATATTAATTATATATAAATCTATATCTATGAATTAATTGAAAGAAACCATATAAGAATATATGAATAAAATGGTTAAACCAGTTTTTGATTAACTTTTAGCTTAATTATTATTAGCTAGACCAGATGATGTTATTAATTGGAGTATTAATTGGCTTGAAAAATTATGTAATATATTTTAGATATTAAAGAATCTGTAAATTAAAAAGGAAATAAATAAGAGACTCAACATAATCAAAGTGAAGAGGAAGAAGATGAAGATGATGAAGTTTTACCTATTTAAAAAGAAACAAAAAAAACAACTAGAACAGGAGTTTCAGCTGAAGTTTATGGAGAATTTAATAAAAAAGAGAACTTTAAACCAAGAGTAATAGAAAAAACGAGAGAATAAATAGATAGAATAAGAAAAAAAGTGTTAAATTCATTTCTTTTTTAAGCATTAGATGAATAAAACTTACATACTGTAATAGGTGCTATGGAAGAAAAAAAGTTTTAGTAATAATTTAAATATATAACTAATCATAGACCTGGTGATTTTGTTATTCGTTAAGGAGATGATGGAAATGAATTATATGTAATAGATGAGGGTGAATTAGAATGTACTAAGAAATTCCCAAATTAACCTTAAGAAAGATTCTTAAAAAAATATTTACCTGGTGAATCATTTGGTGAACTTGCTTTATTGTATAATGTTCCTCGTGCTGCTACTATTAAAGCAATTTAACCTGTTATAGCATTTGCTTTAGATAGAGCAACTTTTAACAATATTGTAAAAGATGCTGCTATTAGAAAAAGAGAATAAATGGAATAAATTTTAAATAAGATAGAACTTTTATAATCTATGGATACTTATGAAAGATTATAATTTTGTGATGTTTTGAAAGAAGCCAAATATTGTAGAGGAGACAAAGTTATTTAATAAGTTAAATAATATTTCTATTTAATAGGGAGAATAAGGAGACACTATTTATTTAATAGCTGAAGGAGAATTAGAAGCTTATAAAGAAGGATAATTAGAAAAGGTTTATGCTTATAAATCTGGTGATTATTTTGGAGAATTAGCTTTATTAAAAAATACTCCTAGATAGGCAACCATTATAGCAACAGTACTTATGCTCTTCATCATTATCTTAGACTGATTGTACTTTATATTATTGTGATTTTAAATCCTTTACAAGAATGATGGGTCCTTTAGAATAAATTCTTAGAAGAAATATTGGAAGATATGAGCAATATCTATAATGAATGTTGTGTTAATCAAAAAATAGTAATATATATGCATAATTATTTATTTTCATCTGTTAAAATATTATCATCAAAAATTATCATTATAATTAACATAAGTTTATTAATATGCATGCTAATATTTCCTCCATTATTGATAAAACTCCTACCTTTGCTGAAAATTTGGATTTTATGAATATAGAATTGTGCCTAAATGGAATTTCAGATTTTCTTCTTTATTCTACAACACTCAATCTAAATTAAGTAAAATCTTTATATTTAAAAGAGTAATCATATAACAAATTACTTTTTAGAAGATAAAAAAGATACTTTGATGTTTTCTAATGTTGTGAATAATATTGAATTTGAAGAATTAATTAGACTATATAGATTACATCGTTATTATAATAAAATAAACTAGTAAAACAATATAGTTCTACTAGAAACACAAAATTATAAAACATTATCAAATAATCATCAAACTTAGCCTTAAATTTGTATTAAGATTATTGGAAATTCTCCTTCAAGAATAAATAACAAAAAGTATGCATAAATAGAAAGCAGATATTCACCAAAAAATTTAAAATTCTACTTAAAACAAGAATAATAATGTTCTGATATAAGGATGATGTCAACATCTAGACATCTAACTTAATCAATAAGGTAATCTAGATCTTCTTCATTAAATATGAGTTCAATAAATTCTAATTAAAAATCTTAAAACTTTAATTAAATTTAGAAGAAGTAAAATGGTCCCAAAAATTATTAATTTTGCTTACTTTCCTAAAAACATTAAGAATTAACTAAACTAAAATAACAATATGAATAAAGCAAAACTATTAATTTATCTTACACTCCTCTATCCTAAAGGATTGAAAAGAATAAATGAATAATATGAACATTTATATAATTATTATTTCATCCTTACTCTTTCAATGCATCTTACTTAATTTTCTTCAATAATTCTGCTCTCTTTTTTAATTCCTATTTCTTCAATTCTAATTCTTAAGCTCTCTTTTGATCTACTATAAAGTCTGTCTATCAAATATTTAATAATATCAATTTACCATATCTACAACTAATGGTCCTTTTTCTTATTATTCAGGTTTTTATTCTTGCTACTCTCCACCCTAAATTGATGATTCAATTTTAGTACTTCTTAATATTTCTTCAATTCATCTTATCTCTCCTTAATCTTTTTTTATTTAATTAATTCTCTCTGCTATTATAATCTTTACTTTCTTTATTCTAAACTTTCTTAATCTTATTGGTTTTTCATATTTTATTTATAAGTTTCTTCCTAGTTTTAAAAATTAAGATTTACAAATTCTTTTAAATTTTGCTTAAGTTCATTTCCTTAAGCTAATAAAGCTTCTCTTTCTTAAGCTAAAGACATAACTTCAACTTTTTATTAAACTATTTATGGCAAAGGATCTTTTTATCTAATTTATTAAGGCTATGTTTTTTCATTTTATTTAATTTATTATTAACTAATAGATTAAGATTCTTCTTTTTCTTTTGGTATTTCATCATCAAAAATTAAAATCGATTCAGGCTTTTAATCAGGTTAAGGAATTGCTTATTAATTTTAAATAGGAACTTAATGATTTACAACTTAAGCCTATTATTATTATTATTAGATTTAGCTTTATAAAATTTGATCTAATGAAATAAAAATAAAAATATATACACTATTATTGTTCGTATAATATCTAACTTTATTTTATTGCTTCAATAAATTCTTCATCTTCTTATATTTAAATTTTAGCCTTTTCATTTTCAACAGCAATAGACATTGCTACAGCATGTTCAATTTCCATTCTTTCTTTTTCAAGTTCAGCTTATTTTACTTTAATTTCCATATCTGGATTTTTTCCACCCTTTTTGTTAATTATATCTTTACATCTATTTTTTATAATTCCTTAAGTGCTTCATATTCTAATTCTTTATTTCTTTTCAACATTAACTTTTTAAATACTAAGAAATTCTCAACAATTAGCAATTATTCAAAATATTTTTTATGTTTTTTATTTTTCAATCCTATTTCAATAACTTTTCTTAATTGTTCTTCATCTTCGACGCCTATATCAATCATCAATTATTCAATCATAGCTTCTATCATACTTTTAAATTTCTAGTTTATTAATACTATATAACCTTATGTATTTCTTAATAAACAATCTTGTTCTCCTCTTCATCATCAAATATTATACAATTTTCATCTAAAAAATCTGAAATTGGATTTCTCCATATTGGTGAAGCCAAATATTATAAAATCAAATCATACATCCATATCTACAATTAAAACTAGTTGATTACATCCTCATCCCCTTAGTTTGGCTTCTTTTATACACTTTATTATTTCATTTAAACTTATTTTTGTGGCTTTTTCTACTATTCTTATGGTTTATCTTTTGAAGATTTTTGACCCATCTATAAGATGTATTTATTATTTAATTTAGAAATGAAATAATTACAATTTAGAAGATTATTGTCTTTGATTCCTGATAGATAACAATCTCCTACTCATAATAAATTATTTGATATTGATTTAACTATTCAATAACCTAAGATTAAACCAAAATAACTTTTAATTTAAGAATTACCTTTGTTTTTGAATCAACAACATATCTCAATATTACCTTTTGTTCCTTAAAGAATTAAAACAGAAGTATATAAAAAAATTCAATAAAATGGTACTAAACTATCAAAAAGTGAAGATGAAAGATACAATACAATTGATGTAGTTAGATCCAAATCTCGTAAAACTAATGAAATTCGGAAAATTTCTTTAACTAACTCTTATTAAACTCAATTACAATAAAAAAAAGTTAGAAAACTCAAATACTCTTATGAAACTAGAAAAAGATAAAATAGTCTCAATAAATTTAATTTTGAAGCTCATTTTTACTTATTTGTTGATGCTAATCCAAATTTAAATATTAATAAAATTAGAATAAATAAATAAATAATTTTCTAAAAGTTAGTATAAAAATATGGAATTGCTATGACTTAAAAAATAATTAATTTTTTTGAAATTCCTTAATACATTGATTTTTTATCTTGGAAATCTTTAGTATAGAAACTATTATCTATTAATTAAGAATAAATTATGGTTTTTATATATCGTCTAATTCATAACCATCGTCATTTATCATCAACTGAATTATTTTAATTAGGATTAACTACTTAAAGTGAGGCCATTTAGAAAGATATTAGAACTATCTTAAAATATATTAAATAATCATTAAATACTGAAAGTATTGATAATGAAGAAATTGAGTATTTAAGAAAATCATCAATTTTTAAAGACAATCTTACTTTGACTAGCCTTCTAACTTGGACAGAAATATATTAAATTGATGTAACTTTTAATTTAATTATTTTAAGCAATCTAAGTGTCTTAAATAAACAAAAGGATTAAATTATAGAAAATCTGTACCAATAGAATAATTTATTAGTATTTATATGATAGATGAAAAAGAATAAAATATTAATTCTAATGCTATAATTTCTAAATATCCAAATAAATATGAACTAAATGAGCCTTTTTCTATAAATTTTCCAATATTTAGACGAATCTTTTAGAATTAATAAATTCATTTATGGAATGAAATTTATTCTTTTTTTACAGGGCAAACTTGTTGAAATTTAATTCAAATTATAAATATCAAGTTTCATAATCATCAAAAAGGATTAATATGAATTATAATACTCATATATTATTTATTCTTAACAAATTCTTGAACCACATAACTATATACTTAATTTTTAAGATTAAGCCATTTAGTTTTGGTTTATTTTGATATAAAAAATAAATATAGAATAATTTTAAATATACTATCATTTCATCATCATATTAATCTATAGAAAAGTTTTAATTATTAAATAATTTCATATTAAATTTAGACTAAACTTTGATCATTTATCATTTTTCCTAATTTATTATGAGTATTTAACTTTTTCAAATTCAATTATTTGATTCTATTTACTAATGAATCATAAATAATATATAATTATTAAGCCAGGAAAAAATAATAATATTTGTTTTTCATACATAAAATTAATATAATTAAATAAAAGATATTAAATTATGGGTGTTAGAGTGACTTATAGAAGAAGAACATCATACAACACTAGATCCAATAAAATTAGAAAGGTTAAGACACCAGGTATAAAGAAATAAGTATCATTTAGGCGGTAATGTTGTTGTTCAATATCCAAATAAAAAGACAAGTGCCTCAACATGTGCTGACTCAAATTTGAATGTTGTTCTTAATGGACTTAAAAGAATTAGACCAACTAAGCTTAAACAACTTTCAAGAAGATAAAGAACAGTTTCAAGACCATATGGTGGTGTTTTAAGTGCTGGTGCTTTGAAAAACAGAATTATTAGAGCATTTTTGGTTGAAGAAGTCAAAATTGTGAAATAAATCAAAAAATGATACATATGAATTCTATTTTTTAGTACATTAAATAAACAATCCATGATCTTTCAGAAATTTGTTTGTGATTTATTTTTCGATTTTTTTTGAATAAATAATTTGTTCATAAATTATTGAAAATAAAAGAAAGTAAATAAATATTGATTAATCATTAAAATCTATCGGTCTATGATTTTTCTAAAAAACTGGCACGATTTTCTTTCATTTATTATAAACATTATTATTCTATTCTCTATTTCAAAACTTTTTCATTTTTTTTTCTAAGCCATTCTTCTTATTTTGAATGAAAATCTTAAGATCTTTATCGAGTTATTTTTTATTCATTTTTTGAAATTCTAATTTCTTTAATTGGTTATTAAGATATTTTCCTCTATAATATTTGATGTTATATCTTACAGCAAATTTAGTAAAATTAATGTATTCAACATTTTCTATTTCTTTAATTGGCTTTAATATTTCTAATTATTCCAAAGGTTATTATAATATTTCAGGTTGTTTGTTGTGTTTTGGTATTTATTTATGTTCCTATTCTAAAATAATTGGCTTAGGTGAATTCTAACGAACTCTACAATTTGGTGTTAAAGCTTTAGTTAAACTTTCTACAAGCTCTTTTGAAATTCTCTAAAGTCCAATCATGGTACCTTTATTAGAATTTTGACTATCTTAAATGTTAAATAAAATTTTACTTCTTGGACTATGAATATTAGATTTATGATCTTTGCACTTTGTATTTCCAGATAAAACTAGATTGATGAATAAATTTATTTTACTTCTTTTTGTTCTATGTTCAGAGAAAGCTTAAACTTGTTTCAAATTCATTTATAGAAAGAGTTTATTAATAAGTATTAGATATAAATTATTAATAAAAGAAAAAAGACTTTTGCTTTCTTCTATTTTCATTAATTGATTGTGATTTTCTCATCTTTTTGGTTATCTTCTCTCTTATCTTCATCAATAAAAACTTGATGCTTGCTTTCTTCTTCACATTTTTGATTCTTTTCTCTTGGTCTTCCTCTACTACCATAATGTTTATCATTTGGTATCTAAGTTCCTGTAGGAGGTTAACCTTCATGCTTTATCCTATTTAAAGATATCCATAGAATTACTTCAAATGAGTATATAATGCTGGATAGCTATAGTAACCACGTCCACAACCGCATTTATAGGGACGAGGGGTTTCATCATGTTTAGTGCATCTTCTAATTCTTTTCTTTGCACTTGGTTGGTCTGGTTACTAAGACATCTCTTATAATTATTATTAATTTATTTATATTAATTCATTTATCATTTTATATATTTTTTTAACTTTTTTAATTTACAAACTTAACTAATCTATTTTATATATAATTTATATATATTCCAAAACCTCAAAATCTAAATATTATTCATTTGATCATTAACTTTATCAGATTCTTATAGAATAATTTATTCTAATTAAAATTATTTATTTTCTTTGAATTTAAAATAAATTTGATGCCTTTTTCCAGAATTTTTTATTTTTACCCTTCAACTTCAAAATTTAAAAAGTGATATTTATAAGTTTAATCTTATTTAATCATGAATTCTAAATGAGACATTTTAAATGATGTCATTGTTATTAATTAATAGGCAATATGATTTTAAATAAACCTATATATATATGCTATAATTGATTAACATTTTTGATTTAATATAGTGTTAAAAAATCAATTTTTCATAGTGTTAGCAATCACTATTTAAAACAATAGTAAAACTTTTAATATTTAAGCTATATTTTTTTGTTA